TCTCCTGCCTCAGCCTCCCAAGTAGCTGGGACTACAGGCACCCGCCACAACACCCGGCTATTTTTTGGTTGCAGCTGTCATTGTTTTGGTGGGCCTGGGCTGGATTCACCTTAGGTGTAGCCTTAGCCACTTGAGCCACAGGCGCTAAGCCAAGACCCCATCTCTAAAAACAAGATAGCTGGGCATTGTGTTCCAGCTACTCAGGAGGCTGAGGCAAGAGAATCACTTGAGCCCAAGCATCTGAGGTTGCTGTGAGCTATGACTATGGCATTCTATCAGGGGCAACAAATTAAGACTCTTGGTCTCAAAAAAAGAAATACGTTAACTTAAAAAGTGGTCAAAAAAAGAGATGAATTAACGTCCGACTGGGAAATGTTGAGTGAGACATTTTAAGGTTAAGGAGCCTAATTTTTTTTTTTTTTTTTTTTAAGAGACAGAGTCTCACTTTGTCACCCTCGGTACAGTGGCATGGTGTCACAGCTTTCAGCAACCTCAACTACTCGGTGCCCGTGTAGCTCAGTGGTTAGGGCACTGGCCACATACAACAGGGCTGGCGGGTTCAAACCCAGCCTGGATCTGCTAAACAACAAAAATAGCCCGGAATTGTGGCAGGTGCCTGTAGTCCCAGCTACTCGGGAGGCTGAGCAAGAGAATTGCCTAAGCCCAGGAGTTGGAAGTTGCTGTGAGCTGTGACGGTACGGCACCCTACCCAGGGTGACAGCTTGGGGCTCTATCTCCAAAAAGAAAAAAAAAGTTTAAGTTACGTAGTTTAGAGTTGTGTTGGGGAGGGGCAAGACTGTGTGCATGTGAACCTGGAGTAAGAAGCTGTGGTAAGATTCAAATTGGGATAACATCACACTATGTCCTCTACTTTAATGAGGCAGGATTGCGGATGTTTTGGACTGATGCCAAAAAGGCTAGAAGAATAAAGAGACATATGTGGAGGCACAATATAAAGTTTCATCAACTTCCGTACCGGGAGATGGAGCATTTGAGACAGGTATGGATGGGGTGGGGGTTGCAGCCATCCAGAAGTTCATAGTGAAGTAATTACATTTAACCAACATCTTAAGGTTTTTTCTTTTCCTTTCTTATTCACCACTGATTACGCTTTTTTGCCTTTTGTTGTCATCAAAGTATTGAACTGAATGAGGGCATCAGATTATTTGTAAGAATTGGGTTCATTCATAGTTGTAGCCCTCCAGAGCAGAGTTCCATAAAATTTCTGGCACACTTTCTGAATAAAAGTTATAAATACTGAAGTCCAATTAGTTTTTGAAACATATAAAGACCTATAAAGACCCAAAGTGCAACAGGAAAATTATAGTTGATCACGACTCGACTTTTGGAGCTGAGAGTAAGAATCAAGGACCCATTCTGCAAGGCCAACATAGTGGCTCAGGCCTGTAAGCCTAGCACTCAAGGAAGCCGAGGCAGGTGGATTGTGTGAGCTCAGGATTTTGAGACCAGCCTGAGCAAAAGTGAGACCCCGTGTTTAAAAATAGTCTGGCATTGTGGTGGGTGCCTGTAGTCCCAGCTACTTGGAAGGTTGAGGCAAGACGATTGCTTGTGTCCAAGAGTTTGAGGTTGCTGTGAGCTGTGACACCATGGCACTCTACCCAGGGGTTCTCCAAAAAAAAAAAAAAAGACCCATTATGCAGATCCAGAAGGATTTGGTATAATGTCAGGACCTGTACTAGACCTTATTTGGGATAAACGTGAACAAACGATCTGTGTGTGGTGCTTCATACACGTAATTCCAGTGCTTTGAGAAGTGGAGGTGGGAGGATTTCTTCCAGCCAGGAATTCAAGATCAGCCTAGGCAATATAGTGAGACCTTGTCTCTATAAACCATAGAAGAAATCATGGTGTGCACTGTAGGAACAGCTACTAGGGAGACTGGGGCAGGAGGATTGCTTGAGTCTAGGAATTTCAAGCTATAGTAAGCTATGATTATGCCACTGCCCTCCAGCTTGGAAGATTGAGCAAGAACCTGTCTCAATCAATAAATGCATAGGCTCGGTGCCCGTGTAGCTCAGTGGTTGGGGCACTGGCCACATACACCAGGGCTGGCGGGTTCAAACCCGGCCTAGATCTGCTAAACAACAATGACAACTATAAGAAAAAAAATAGCTGGGCATTGTGGCAGGTGCCTATAAAGCTGAGGCAAGATAATTGCTTAAGCCCAAGAGTTTGAGGTTGCTGTGAACTGTGACGCCCCAGCACTCTACTGAGGGCCACATAATGAAAATGTCACCAAAAAAATAAAAAAAAAATAAATGCATAAATACTCCTTCCCCAGCAAATCAGAGGTTCTTTCCTCAGTAAACTTACTATCTTTAAGTAGATAAAGATAAATTTGGCTTTTTCTGGACTGTAATAGAAGTTAACTGCATAGTGGGGTGGAGGGATTGTCTATCGTATAAAGAACTTAATTTGATTTAAAACTGCATCTGTGTTTATTTCTGCTTAGTTCCGTCGAGATGTCACCAAGTGTCTTTTCTTAGGTATCGTTTCCATTCCACCCTTTGCCAACTACCTGGTCTTCTTGCTAATGTGAGTACAGACTTTCACCTCCCCAACATCTTGAAGATATTTAGATTTTTTTAAATTAAAAACTAATTTTAAGCAGAACTTTTCGTTTCAGAAGCTAGGCAGGATTTATCAAACTCTTGCTTCAGTCTCATCCCACGGTTCACACTAGTTGCTCCCTAAGATCTGAGTCCCTGGGATACATCACAGCTAAGGTGTAGGTGGCCTAGACTTTCTGCTGGATGATGTCCTGAGAGGCATAGTAATTTCGGACAAATTTTTTTCTTCCAAAAAAAAGTTCATTTCATGTTCTGATAATGTATCTTTGTTATTTTATATCCAAAGATAATGTTTCTAGTATGACCTTGCGTGCCATTACAATTATCTATCGCTGTATAACAAACAACCTCAAAGCTTCATAACATAAAGCAACCACCATTTTCCTGATTTTGCGAGAATCAGGAAAGAATTTT